GCTAAATTCTTCCAAGAGAAAAATTCATTCAAAGAGTTGAGTGATAATACAAGAAAGCGTTCTTGAAAAATTTCCTTATAAATATATATTCCATACTTATTGAATAAAACCGAATAGTTTCTACTAGCGAAGGAACTCTTGTCGGAACCGGACTTCAAAAGGTGGATACGATTAGAGGGAAGACATTTTGATTTCTAAAGTGAGTAACCACAAGAAGTGATCGTTACCAAACCGGGAATTGATTTCTTCATACATCGTCAGTTTTGAAGGAGTTCAAGAACAAAGGTAATTTTTATAAATTACATTTCAAATCAAAATTAGTAAATGATTTTAAATGATGCTTATTCGTTATATCGTTATACTTATGTACGGAATAAGTATTTATAAGATAAATACTTATAAAATTTTAAATTCCGCTGTAAACTCTGTTCCGTACGGTATATCGAACCCAACAGTGGTATCAGAGACACGTTACGATTAGCATCTTTAAAAATAGATTTTGATTTGTTTAAGTTTATATGATAATTAAATGTTTATATGATAAACATATTAATTATCAAAATAAATAAAAATAAAAAAAAATTGATTTTTTAGCCACACGGGTCGTGTGAGGTGTCACACGGGTCGTGTGGCTCCACACGAGCCGTGTCCTTTAGCCACACGGGTCGTTTGACTTAAGGAAAAATTTGATTTTTTCTTACGGGTTTTTCACACGGGTCGTGTGATAGGATCACACGGGTCGTGTGGACTCACACGGGTCGTGTGACTTAATAATTTTTTTTTTTTTTTTAATTCATGTGATGAATGGGATGTTCATGAGCCTTTTATTCATAATGATGAATGATTGTATTTTTATTCAATATGATTGATGGTTGCATTTTTATTTAATGTGATTAAACGAATGTAATTTATCGAGACCTACGAGTCTCTTGATTTATTGTTTGTAAAATTTTAAATTTTTGTATCGTTAAGAGATTAGATCAAGGTGGAGAACGTTCGATGCGAAAGGCCTACGCATGTATGGGTAATTTTACAAGTTGTAAATCTCGAAGGCCTGTGCTTGTACGG